ATGTACAAATGTGCTTTATACAATTGATGTATGTATGGATTGTGATAAGAGTTGTACGAGCCCTCAATAAAATGAGTTGAAAAAAGGGGGGGGCAGGAGATATTAAAATGCTATTTTAAAGACCTTTGAATCTAGTCTTTTGTGTGACTAAGATGGCAGATATACTGAATCCCCGCCTGCACACGCCCCCCACCCCCCCCAGCCGTCCCCCGCATCCCTACTGGCCTGGATGCTATTGGTAATTACCCCACTGTAGATAGAAATCTTCCATTTTTCAGCAGTTAGTATTTTCATTTCAGCTGGTGTATTTTCATCCTCTAACATTTATAAATCAAGACCTATCGTGCTTTTGGCTTTCTTCACTTCCCCTTAAATGATGACTAGAATTGAGGAAAATAGTAAGAGACACTAATGAATTTATAGGCACTTTGCTAAATTGTTCAAAGAGCAACTGGCGGGTGTGAGCTGCAGTCAGTGTTATCTGTCTGTGTGTGCATGCACATGTAAATTCTGTTATGAAACATTACTGGTGAATCCTTAATCATTTAGAGATATTTTTGTGATGATACCAACCTTTTCATGGGTTTTATGAAATTGAGACTTTGCAATGCATGTGCTGTTATAGCCTGAAAACAAAATGTAGATTTTTCCTTCAATCAAAATGATGTTGGAAATAATGGAAGTCAGTTTGGTTTAAAATACTATACTTTGGACCAGGAGAGAAGAAAACATGGTCTATACATAGGCATTTTTTTCAAGATAAAGAGTGGTGGTGGTGGTGGTGGTGGTGTTTGTAAAAGCTTATGGGCACGTAGAGCTCAAACCAAACAAACCCATTGCTGTTGAATTGATTCTGACTTATAGCAACCCTGTAGAATAGAATAGAATGTGCATGCACCTTTCGTTTTCTGAGACTGTCAATATTGATGGGAGCAGAAAGCCTCCTTTTTCTCATAAGGAACAACTGATGATTCGAATTACCGACTTTGTGATGAGCAGTCCAGCATGTAAGCCACTGTGCCACCCCGGCTTCTTACAGAGAGCCCAGGAGACTGCTTCAGTGCTTAAAAATTGATGACGAGAAGGTCAAGCAAACCATTATCTTTATTCCCATAGTTTCGGTCTCAGGAGTATTATTAGAACAAACCCTCACTGCTATTGAGTCCGTGCTGACTCATAGGGACCCCCTGTGGGTCTCCGAGACTGTAGAGACTGTAACTGTTCACGGGAGTAGAAATTCTAGTCTTTCTCCTGTGGAGCTGCTGTTGGTTTCGAACGGCTGACCACGGGGCTTACAGTTCATTGTATAACCACTACACCAAGAGATACAAAGTATGTTTTGTTTTCGCCAAAATCAAGTATTTCTGAAATCTCTCAAATTGTTTTAAGTGTGCTGGTTATTAAGGATCTTTAATACTTACAGATAAATGGAGTCTATAGCCCACTTGGCTGTTGTTTGTCCTCTTTATCCTAACAGCAGGAGCCTGGTGGTACTTTGGGTCACATATTGAGCTGCTAGCCTCAAGGTCAGCAGTGTGAATTACCAGCTGCTCCTCGGGAGAAGGACGAGGCTGTCTATACCCATAAAGATTTACAGCCTCGCACCCCTGGGAGCAGTTCTGCCTCTGGTACTGGAGATTTCGATGAGTGGGAATTGACTTGTTGGCAGTGTGTGTTGCTTTGTTTTGATACTAAGAGCAAAGACTAAAGCAAGCAAAATGATCCGTTTCACAGCCACTGCAAAAATTAGAGCCTTTGTTTGCCACAGACTGGTATACTGAAGACAAATGAGTGGGGTTCAAAATTCTTGCCATTTCCTCACCCCTATCAACTTGCCTGTAAGAGCAGAAACGGCCTGTGACCTTGCTCTCCAGGACTGTGCTGACTGCCCTGCCCTCTCTCTGGTGGAGGACGGGCCGTCCTTGAAAGTACTGTGCTCAGTGACGCAAGGGTCTGGTTGGGGGACTGGGTAGTTTAAATGAGGCATGTTGTGGCCTTGATGCTGTACCTTTCTTTTTGGAAACGATTCTCTTTTAATTAGAGGAAATAAAAGCATTTATTTTTTATATTTTCCAAGTGTAATTTCCAGCTAGCCTTCTGTTGTTGCTATTTTACCAACATAGCCAGACCAATAGGGGAATAGGAGGAATGCTGTGCGTGGTTTGTTTTTTAATTTTAATTTATTGTGGCTTTTTAGAAATGATTTAATTTAACCCCAGCAGGCCATCACAAAGATGTTTGGTGTAGGCAGTGTCTGTTGAGATCATAAATATGGTTTTGGTTGATCTATGATTCTATACTTTTTCCAAGGGGCAAAAGAGGACAAACCTATTTGTGTTGACATTTCGCTGGCTGTATACAACTGTAGGTTGAGAAAGAGGGTACTGGGTCTGTGCTACTAATTGCAGTACAATCATTAAAGTACAACTCCTTAGCTAACTATTAGAACATAATTTTATTTAGAAACAATGCGGGGGGGAAACCCACTCTTGATGTTAAATACATTGTTGATAGAACTAGTCAGAAACTCAGCATAATTCTTTCTGACTCTCAAAGGGGCACATTTGACTATTTGGGGTGTGTGGGCACTTTTCTTTTAAAAATTTTTAATAGTTTTATTAGGGGCTCATGCAACTCATCACAATCCATACATACATCAATTGTGTAAAGCACATTTGTACATTCATTGACCTCATCATTCTCAAAACATTTTCTCTCCACTTAAGCCCCTGGCATCAGGTCCTCATTTTCCCCCTCCCTCCACGCTCCCCCCTCCCTCCACGCTCCCCCCTCCCTCATGAACCCATGATAATTTATAAATTATTATTTTGTCATACATATTGCCCTGTCCGACGTCTCCCTTCAACCACTTTTCTGTTGTCTGTCCCCCAGGGAGGAGGTCACATGCAAATAGATCCTTGTAATCGGTGTGTGGGCACTTTTCATAGGCTTGTACAACCCAGCTATTTATATATTGTGGACTGCCTTAAGGATGTAAGGATTATGTTCATGTTTTCTTCTACCTCTTAGAAAGTTCTTCCCAAGTAAAACAAAGGAGCAGCATTTTGAAAGATTAATCTTACCAATAACTGGTTTCCAAGTTCAAATTGAGTACTGAAAGTTAAGTGTTTTGGTGCTTTTCTTTTCTCTCCCGCAAGTTATGTGAAGATCTTATAAAGCTACAGATCCTTTTTAGAGTAATAGTGCTACTAGCAGTTGGCATATCTGAATTAGTCTTCTGCGTTATTGTATTGCATGTTAGGAACAGGAATGAAGTGGGCAGATTAGCCCCAGCAAAGAAAGACCTCAAGTCTTGAGGGCAAGGACAGAATGGCGGTGAAACGATACGAAGTGTGTTGTTGATATGATAGAACGTTTGGCAAGTCATACCTACTTTAAAACCTGTGATCCTACTTTCTTTTGAGTTGGAGGAAGTCCTACACTGATTTGTTTTTTTGACAAATGTCAATAAGGAAGGATTAAGGAGAGCAGAGAGCTGGAACGAACAGAATAGGTACAGTAGTAGCTAGTGAGTAGTGGCAGGCTTCTTGTCTAGTAGAGAAAGAATCAAGTTTCTAGGGCTTGATCATGTTTTGTCTCAAGATTCCTGGGGGTCTGAGTATCACTGTGTGAAGCAGAACTCTATTGATTTGTAGCCTGATCCTTGTTCTGTAGGGGATGCGACTAAAGGACTTCTGGGACCACGTTGCTAGCTGGAAGGCAGACCTAACACTTTCCCTTATCGATTTTGGGTGAGCCAAAGCAAATTAGTTCAGGATTAAGTGGCCCTTGTCAGGTAAACTGAGGTGAGAGATAGTTACAAAGCAGAACACGAGGGTTGAAAAATGTCTGGAGGAGGGGACACAGGTGGCTGAGGGACTTGAAGAACAAAAGTGGCTTCTTTGCCATTTCTCCGCCATTGGAAAGATGAATCACTAAATCTGAGGCAGATGACAGCCTCTGGCCAGATGTGCATATACCGCGTTGAAGTGGGCGGACCCTGGTGGCGGAGTGGCTCCCACAGCTTGCATTGAGCTGCTTGGTAACTGACAGATCAGTAGTTGGAACTCACCAGCTACTCCAAGGGTGAAAGATGAAGCTAGGCTCTTTGTTCTAGTAAAGATTTAAAGTCTTACAAACCCCAAGGTACGGTTCTACTCTGCCTTACAGTATCCCTATGAGTTGGAATCAACTTGATGGCGGTGGATTTGGTTTGGGGTTTGGGGTGGATGCTAGAGATTGTGAACTCATTTATGGAGTGCTTTATGTTATCTCACCTGACCCTTTTTTATGAAGAAATTGAAGTACTATTACCCTCCTTTTCCAAGTGAGGAAACGGAAATCCAGAGATTTTTGAGATTAGTCAAAGTTTATACAAGTTGATGGCAGAGACCCAAGATTTTCTGGCTCCTCTGCTCCTTTCCAAGGAGCCTGGGTGATATAGTGGTTGTATGTTGGGCTGCTAACTGCAAGATCAGCGGTTTGAAATCACCAGCCCCTGCTTTGCAAGAGAAAGATGGGCTTTCTACTCCTGTGTTAGTCTGGGTACTTTATAGAAACAAATCTTCAGAAACTCCATGTATAAGAGAGTTTTATATAAAGGTTAAGTGCACATCAAGAAAACATCGCGTTCCAGTGCTGCTCAAGCCCACAGTCCAACATTAACCCATATGTCCGACACCAATCCACAAAGTCCTCCTCCATCTCACAAAACACACACAATGATGCCAACTGCAGGCGGAAAGCCGAATCAGTGAACGTGTAAGCATTTCAACGTTGGCAGGGATCTCCACACAGCTGCTCCAGCACCCAGGGCTGCATCAGGGTAGGTCCATGTGGCTTCTCCTTGGGGATGTCTTGCAGGAAGTGAGCCTTGTCAGTTGAAGCAGGGAGCTGGCTAAGGCAGTTGCACCCTGGTCCGACCATCACAAAACAAGAGACCTGAGAACTCGAAAGGCAAGGCTCACCAAGCCATTTATATCTCCGCCCTTCAATTAACCCTACATGTGTTTATCAGCCAGTTTGGCATAATAAGCATTAACTATCTCAACTCCTAAAGAATTAACGTCTTAGAAGCTCACAGGTGTAGTTCTACTCTGTCCTCGTCCTTTAGGGTCACTGTGAGTTGTCCTCACCTGGGTGTCAGTGCGATTGGGTTTTGTTTGGTGTAGTTCTTTTCCACTTGATTGTATTTGCTGTGGTGGAAATGGAGTAGAAGGGGGAGGAGAGATTTTAGGGAAAGGTACAAAAGTGTGATTCTGGATGCATTTACTCCTTACTTACTGTTCATGTCCGCCATTTGACTTACTGCATTTACAACAATAAACAATCTACCTTTTGTCTGTTTTGTGCATTAATGACACATCTGTCAGTAATGAATACCAAGATGCAAGGCAAAAGTAATGCTGGCTGTGGTGGTTAAGGTCTTTGGGATCTTAATATGCCAGTAAATGAGGAGAGTGCCATTCTTTTTCCACACCAGGAGTGGAGAATATAAAATTGACCATATTTAACACAGCAGGGGCACTTCAGAGGCAAAGTCTGTTCTGATGGATGACAGAAAGGGCCAGTTAGCCAAAGTAAAACAAAGCCTGAAATGGAACCATTCGAGAGGGCATGTACCCTATACGTTTATTTACTTTTTCCTTTGTTTTCCCTTCCCTAAGGAGGTGGCAGGCCTTCACCTACTTTTTCCTTATCTTTTATTTATTAAAAGATCATTTTATTGGGGTTCTTAATAACTCTTACTACAATCCATACATCAGTTGCACCAGGCATACTTATGTTGCCATCATTCTTTTCTAGACATCTACTTTCTATCAAGCCCTGTTTGTTTGTTTTTTTAATGGTTTTATTAGGGGCTCATACAACTCTTATCACAATCTATACATACATCAATTGTGTAAAGCACATTTGTACATTCATTGCCCTCATCATTCTCAAAACATTTCTTCTCCACTTAAGCCCCCGGCATTAGGTCTTTATCTTAAGAAAACATACCCATTTAAAAAAATACCTTTTTCATTCTTTTGTTTTTAAGAACTCATGAGATAGGTCATTGAACTTTTTTGGTGTTTGCCTTTTAAAAAATCAATTATTTTTCTTTTTCTAAAGCAGTGTGGTAAGAGACAATTGTTTGGAACCAGTGTTGCTGAACTGACAAAGTCACAAAGATGTTTGATAATATTTTTTCCTTCTAGGTATGGGAAGGTCGATGGCGAGTAATCCCTCATGATGTTCTTCCCGACTGGCTCAAGGATAACGACTTCCTTCTCCATGGACACCGGCCCCCTATGCCTTCTTTCCGGGCCTGTTTCAAGAGCATTTTCAGAATACACACAGAGACGGGCAACATCTGGACACATCTCTTAGGTATATAATAACAGCTGTGTAATGAATGGTGATTCACTTGATTTCTTTTTCTAAGGATTTTGCACAATTTTACTTAGGGGAGGAAAATATTTGGAATTTTACCATTTTATTTCCTGAAGTTCTAATGATAAAAATTCTCACAGGTTTACTCTGTGGTTATTCTAGTTTAAATTATGGTTTTCTTGCAGCTAAGATCATATTTTTTTCTACTAGGTTTTCTGGTAAAGGAAAAGGTTCTATATAAACTATACTATATTTTAATGAGCTGTTAGATGAATTTGTTCATTAATAGAAATAAGCGGATTTTAAAGATCATTATTTGGACTATAGTTAATTTTTAATTGGCTTGAAGTAGAATGTGATTTGCAAAAAACTTTTCCACATCGTGATTAGATATTAAAGAAAGAATTCACTGGGAAAAGAGTAGTCTTTGCAACAGTGGTACTGGGACTATTGAACTACTAGATATCTTCGTTCAAAAGAATGAAGCTGAGTTTTAATTCACATAGTATATAAAAATCAACTCAGAAGAAAACATGTAAATTTTGTGACTTTGGATTGGGCACCATTTGCTTAGATATGTCAATGAAAGCATAAGCAACCAATAAATTTTTAAAAATTTGTTATGCAACCTCCTCTCACCTGCCCCCAAAGTGTCCAGAAAAAGAAGTATTGGAGAGGGTGTGGGGTATGGAGGTTAGAACCCTTTACATTGCTAATGTTCATGGAATATGGTGCAGTCCTGACTGAACACCGTTCAGAATGCCTCAGACAGTTAGGGCTATAACATGTGGCTATCAATTTCACGAATACAAATGCTCATAGTAGCATGTACTAGCTAAACAGTGGAGACAGCCCACATGTCCATAAGTAAGCATTGGCTAACCTAGTCTTACAACGGAGTGTTATTCAGGCATAGAAAGGAACGGAGTACAGGTACTTGCCACACCACAGGTAAATCTTGAGAACAATGAAAGATGCCATACTCAGAAGACCACATATTGTATGATTTGAATCTGTTTGCATGAAATGTCTAGTAGAACAGTTGCTTAGTAGTTTCAGGGATTGAGTGGAGGGGCCATTGGGGCACGGGGTGGGCGGAGGGATATGACTTCTAATGGGTACAGGGTTTCTTTTTGGGATAAGAATATTTTGAAATGAGCTCAATGACAGTGGTTGCACAGCCTTGTCACTCTACTAAATAATTTCTGGTCTGACCCTATTGGAGGAGCCCTGGTGGCGTAGTGTAACTATTGGGCTGCTAGCTTTTGAGGTCAGCTGTTTGAAACCACTAGCCTCTCCATGGGAGAAAGACAAGGTTTTCTATTCCCATAAAGAGTTACAGTTTCAGAAACTAAGAAGGGCAATTCTGCCCTGCCCTATGGGGTTGCTATGAGTCAGAATTGAGTCGATGACAGCAAGGGGGAGGGACCCCATTTGACTTGCATTAGTTATCTCACATAGCATACCTGTTGCGCTCCCCAATTTCCTGCCCATTAGTATAGTAGTAAAAATAGAAAAACCAAAGCAACTTTTGGCTAACTTCCAACTCCTTGGTAATTGTTTTATTAAATGCATACAACAAAAATCACCCAGCAAGTGTTAACTTTTTATTTCTGTAACCCTTTCCTAAGCAGTAAGGACCTGGTTGGTATCTTTCTATCGAGAAGAACAGTTTGAGACCTGGATATGGAAAGACTGAATAGACATTTTCTCTTTTTAATAAATTCCTTCACTCTGTTGGGCTAGCTGGCGAGGACCAGAGTAGCATAATACCCCTTGGCTCTTGGTGAGGAGAGCAGTGGTTCTTGGCAGAGTTCAAGGGTGTTGAGATGCGTCGCAAAAGCAAAAAGGACCTCTGAAAGCAGGACTGCAGCATATGTGCCCCAAATTTTAGAAATTAAATTTCGTACTGGACCTAGAGGGTTAAGAGGAAGTGGCACTCTTGTTTTCTTCTGCTATCGTGCGTTTCCATCCATAGTTTATTGTGTTCTGTAAATTCAGTTTGTGAAGCTGGGATATATATACCAACCATGTTTGGGATAAAACAAAAGTTTGGATAAGCTTCAGTAATTGGAAACACTGATTCTCATGTAACTTTCAGTTCAAATTGGCAACTGCAGGTGAGGGTTGCTGTGAGTCAGAGTCAACTAGAGAGCAGTGTGGTGGGTTTGTAAAAGATTGAAAGCATAATGCTGTGTTTTCAAAATGATGATCCTTATCTGTCCCTTGTACTTCTTTCGTAGGTTGTGTATTCTTCCTGTGCCTGGGGATCTTTTATATGTTTCGCCCAAACATCTCTTTTGTGGCCCCTCTACAAGAGAAGGTGGTCTTTGGATTATTCTTCTTGGGGGCTATTCTCTGCCTTTCTTTCTCATGGCTCTTCCACACAGTCTACTGCCACTCAGAAGGGGTCTCCCGGCTCTTCTCTAAGTAAGTGTTTATAAAATCTGTGGGTTTTTTTAATCAATGATTTTGAGTCATTGAGTTAGGAAAACCATCTCCAGCAGAATTCTTGATACCGTTTAATGGGAAGTTTTTTTTTTAATTAAGCAACCCAGTCTGCCTGTTAGCCGTTATCAATAGCTCACACCATGGGGAGTTAATTGAAACCTGCTGTGGGGTGTAATTTTTATGATTAAATTAACACCCCCCCTTTTTTTAATTCCAGACTAGACTACTCTGGTATTGCTCTTCTGATTATGGGAAGTTTTGTTCCTTGGCTTTATTATTCCTTCTACTGTAATCCACAACCTTGCTTCATCTATTTGATTGTCATCTGTGTGCTGGGTATCGCAGCCATCATCGTCTCCCAGTGGGACATGTTTGCCACTCCTGAGTACCGGGGAGTGAGAGCAGGTAAGGACATGTGGAGGTTTTATACTGGGCATTAGTGGCTCACCAGTCATGTGTTTGTCTAGCATGCTGCTGCTGTCAGCTTATGAAGCAGCGCAGATGAATCAATCTTAGCGCCTTTCCCCGAGGGGCATTGAACGTAACGAGTCTTCAAGTATTCGGATTGAGTGGGGATGGATGGTTAGCTGTCTGAAAACAGTTCTATGTATTTTGGTCAGTATCATTTATGGCTTTATACTGTCCAGAAGGTGGTGGCTCTGTAACCTTTGTAAAATAAACAGTTACTGTTTCTCTCAGTTTAGAGTATATTTTAGTTCAAGGGCTCCAGCAGAAAGAAAATGATGATGGCAACAGATGTACAAATGTGTTTGATACAATTGATGTATGAATTGTTATAAAAGAGCTGTAAGAACCCCCAATAAAGTGATTTATTTATTTTTTTTAAAGAATATATTTTAGTAGTGGTTGGTTCTTTTTGTTTCTGTGTTATAGTTTACTTTTAAAATGTGTCATCTTTTTTATTTGTTTTTTTAATCATTTTATTAGGGGCTCATACAACTCTTATCACAGTCCATAAATACATCAATTGTGTGATAAAATGTGTCATCTTTAGGTGTAATTAGGACTGCATTATATGCTGACTGTACTCTACTAAAGTAGGTATGCTGTACCTTTTATCCCTGTATTAAAAGAGGCTTTTTATATTTAAGATGATGCCTGTTTAACCGGAGAGGATATGGGAAGCCAGGCACCCCTCTGTGGAACCTTCTTGTAGGAGTGTGGAGTTAGTCTTACTGTACTGGAGACACTTTAGGGTGCTGTCTCCAACTTTCTATCTTCATTGTCAAGTTCAGCCCCTCCAGATCGTGAATAAGCAGTATTCAAAGTAGCACTTTTCAGTCCAAACTATGGTTGAAGATGAGAAGTGGAACTAACTTTATGTTCATTCATTTTTCTGAATGCTTTTATGGCCACATGTGCAGCACTCAGACTTGGCTTTCCTTAACTGGTGCCAAGCCTGTGTGAGCACATGCGCTAAGAACTTTGGCAATAAGAGCTGAGCACCCTGTTGTTTATATACCAGAAGAATCAAATTTTCCCGAGTCCTTGCCTGAAAGAATGATAGGCAAGACCAGTAGCAGTCTTTGCTCAACACACGAGGGGGTACCCGAAACACCTGGAATTGCTGCGCGGGGTGGAGTGGAGCTTTTGTATGCATTTTTCGTTTTCCTGCTAGGCGAGCATCGCGTAACTCGCTCTGAGTTAGTGCACGCAGTGATGTAACCTGGGAAGGTTCTCTCTGGTCACAATGCATTTTTTCGTAAAAGCAGTTTTGCTCAAACCTCATTCTTGTGATGGCCGATTTAAAAGACAGCATGCGGTTGTGAAATTTTGTTTCCTGCTCTGGGGGGCGGGGGAATGCTGCAGAAACTGTCGTGATATTGAACACAGCTTACATGGACAGCGCTATGGGAAAAACTCAAGTGTATGAGTGGTTTTCTTTTCATTATACTTCACTTTATTGTGCTTTGCAGATACTGCTTTTAAAAAAAACATTTTATTAGGGGCTCGTACAACTCTTATCACAATCCATCCGTCCATCCATTGTGTCAGGCAATGAGTGGTTTTCTCGTTTCAAAAAAGGTGAAATGTCGATTAATGACAAACCTCATTCTGGATGTCCATCAACTTCCTGAACGATGAAAATGTTGACTCGTAGTAGTACATTTGGAGTTTGTTCCACCAGGTCAGACTGTTAATCAAGCTTTCTATTTAGGGGTTCTGAAAAGATTGCATAATAGTGTGCTACAAAAAAGGCCTGGTTTGCGGCAGATGGGGGATTGGTTTTGCCACCATGGCAATGCACCTGCTCACACAACCATCTCAGTGCACCGGTTTTAGGCAAAAGCAGCATGCCTTTCTGTAAGGGGCACCTTGCACCTTACTCACCTGACCTTGCTCTGTACGATTTCTTTTTGTTTCTGCAAGTGAAGAGGGGCATGAAAGGACAGTGATTTGATGAAGTAGGAGAGGTCAAGAAAAAAAAAGAGGGAGGTGTTGTCAGCCATCCAAACAGATGAGTTTGAAAAAAGTTTCCAAGAATGGAATTGCAGATTTGACAAATGTATTAAGTGCAATGGAGAGTACTTTGGAAGGTGATGATGGTTGTTAAAAATTTTTTTAAATACATGGCTTTGAAAAAAATTCTGTTTTTGGGGTACCCCCTTTTATAGAGGAAAAGAACAAGTGAGAGAACAAGATCTTGGTAGTTTTTCTCAGAGTGAAGTTGTTAGTTGCTTTTGCTTGAGGCAATTGCATCTCACGGTCACACCAAATAGGAGGATTGTAAAAAATTTTGCCTGCTTGGTTCTTTTTGTGTTACCAGCATTTTTAGTTTCCTTTCGTCTTTCTGACACTTACTTTTATTTATGCGTCTGCATGTCTGCAAGTGTGCCTACAGATATGACTGCGTCCGCTTGGTGAATTTACAGAGCAGTCATCATAGGTCGTTGAGAAAGCTTACTAGAGGACAACTTGTTTTGGGTGTCAAAATGTCACCACAGTCACTGGCTGAGGCAAGTTCTGTGTTGCTTTAATGACACCTAGAGCTCATGGTTGTTTTAGATATAGCCTGCAGACTTTAAAAAATCACGACATTTTCTATTACAACTCTGAATGTGTGCATACATAAGTGCCTAGATTCATCATTTACAAATGCCTTCCTAAGCTAAAATCTTAACACTCCACTTTTGACAGTTGGATGTTGCATTGAGACTGGCTTAGTTGATCTATACTTACCTCCCCACGTTCTCTCTCTGGTCATTTCTCCCTCATCTTTCTATCCCACCTTCCCAAAGGAGGCACTTCAAAGAGAAGATGGGAATATGTAAAATTGCTTTTTATTAGAAACAAGCTATGTCTGTACAGAGGCAGCACTAAGAGAGCTCTAATAGACTCCTGGAGCTGTCCTTTCCTAAAACCCTGGCAGCCTCATTATAAACGCTGTGAGGGCTGTGGAGCTGTTAAGCGAGGTCTCTTTCAGCAGGAGATCTCTTGCTTTCTTAAATAGAGCTGTCAGAACTTAGTCCTGCTGCCTGTGGGAACGTCCCAGAGTTTGGAGAACCCTCCTTTCCATTTAGACAGGATGCTATTGTTGCACCCTACTTTGAAATAGTCAGCTTTCATAGTTCATGGTTCTGTGTTGTTTTATAGATGTTTTATTCCTTATTTCTACTTTTATTAATATTTGGGGTCTTGTGCTTCCTAGGAGTGTTTCTGGGCCTGGGCCTGAGTGGAATCATTCCTACTTTGCACTATGTCATCTCGGAGGGCTTCCTGAAGGCTGCCACCATCGGCCAGATCGGCTGGTTGATGCTGATGGCCAGCCTGTACATCACAGGCGCCGCCTTGTATGCTGCCCGGATCCCGGAACGGTTTTTTCCTGGCAAGTGTGACATCTGGGTAAGTGGGAACAGGGGTGATTCAGTGTGTTTACATAGCTGTTTGTTACTAGGTTGTTGGTAGACAGAGAAGTAATGCCAATGAAGAGAGTCGAGATTCAAAGTTGGAGGATTGGTAATATGCGAAGGACTTCCGAAAAGTTCTTCACCTCTTAATTCAAATTTTTGAAGCCCTCTCTTCACACTAATAATCCTGTCCCTAATCAACAGTTGTTCTCTAAACAGTAGGTAAGATAGTAACTAATAGCCACTGAGCACTTACTTGGTGCCAGGCATAGTACTGAGTGCTTTACACAGCTACCTCATTTAATACATTTATCCTACAAGGTATAATAACTATTATTATGTTTTACAGATTAGCAAACTGAGGGTTAGGGGAGGTTAGGTTAGGTAACACAAGGGCTCACAGCTGTTAAATGGTGGCACTGGAATTTGAAGCAGGTCAGTTTAATATCTGAATCTGTGCTCCACATCCGCAAGTAGTTAGCCATTCTTTGTCCCAGTTTTCTTATTTTGAAACGAATGTGAATGGACCAGATGTTTAAGAAGGTTCTTTTTGTTACAGAGTTTCAGTGATTTGTATTGGGAAATTGAATATGAATGAGTGTTTGGATGGATGAAGGAAAAAAATTTTCGGACTTTAAACTCCATGCCATTGAGTCAATTCTGATTTAGAGAGACCCTTTAGGGTAGGGTAGAACTGTTCCTTAGTTTCCTAGACTGTTAACTCTTTACAGGAGTAGAAAGCCTTATTTCTCCCATGGAGCTGCTGATGATTTTGAACTGCTGACTATGTGGTTAAGCAGCTCAACGCATAAACACGACACCACCGGGCTCCTGGTTAGACAAAAGGTAGAGATAAATGGATTGTGGTTAATGCTGAGAGAGGAGGGAGGAGCGGAGGTAATAGATGAAAAATTGTACACCTGAAGAGGGTATAATACATTTTCAACAGTAGAGAACTGAACGTGTTTTAATATGAAGTGTGACTATTGGTATTCTGTATTCATCCTATTGCTGATTATTGTAGGCTAAGCTGACCATTTAATTCCTTCATGTCTAGTTCAGCTACCTGTGAAATAGGGATAATGATGAACTTGAGGAATATAAATATAAATAAATATATATAAAATCATTTTATTAGGGGCTCACACAACTCTTATCACAATCCATCCACACATCAATTTTGTAAAGTGCATTTGTACATTCATGGACCCCATCATTTTCAAAACATTTCTCGAGGAATATTTTGAGCTTAAAATTAGCTAATTTATCTTTCTGAGATCGTCTCAATTCGTAATTTTAACATTGGTATGAAGAGATTTTTATTCCTGGTCCCATTGTATTGATAAATAACATTTAGTTTATACTTTTAAAGTGAATACATTTCCTTTCAGAAATACTGTTATCCCACTGCACTTTTTAATGTTGAGACTATAATGGGAGACATAATTTTTGAAATGATAGTGGGTGCAGTTCACTACCGCTCCTGAAGCGTGACATCTCATTCAACCAAAACGGAAAACCAAATCCACTGCCATTAATTCAAGTCTGACCTTAAAGGACAGGGTAGAACTGCCCCTGTGAGTTTCTGAGGCTCTAACTCTGTATGGAGTAGCACGCCTCATAGTTCTCCCAAGGCACAAGTGAGATCAGAAATAGCACGTGCCTGTGGACCAGCTTCTGACCCGAGCAGGTAGGGAAAGGTGCTGCTTTTTGTAGTCTTTTGTTAATAGTATGTAGTCCATGTCGTTCCAGAATCTTCAGAGCTGAAAGAGACTCTCCAAAAAACCAAACTCAATGCTATCAAGTTGTTCTGGCTCATAGCAACCCTGTAGGACAGAGTGGAACTGCCTCATTGGGTTTCTGAAGCTCTAATATAGTGGTTCTCAACCTTCCTAAATGCAACCCTTTAATATAGTTTCTCATATTGTGGTGACACCCCAACCATAAAATTATTTTCGTTGCTACTTTATAATTGTCATTTTGCTACTGTTATGAATCGGGCAATCCCTGTGAATGGGCCATTCGACCCCCAAAGGGGTTGCGACCCACAGGTTGAGAACCGCTGCTCTAAAACCTTTATGGTTCAAACGGCTAACCTTGCTATTATCTGCTCACTGCTCACTGTGTAATTTTAGCCTTTCACCCAATCCTTGAAAACATTTCTCTATGTATTCAAAAAACAAAAAAGAGAGCAACATATTTAAATGACCTTGTGGTAGTTTTGTCCATGTAATGGGCAAAAATGTCTACCAGCAAAGAATATGGAGGAAACACCCCAACGCCTATGTCCAACTGTAGTCCACTGCTAGGAACCGAGAAATTCTTGGGTTCTTTTCGGTCTGTCAATGAGAGGGCCAATGTGTACGTGATTTGCCCTTGAGCCCGCCCAATACTCCAGCGAGCAGTAGACATTTTCACGTCGCGTGTAGCAGCACCTTTGATTTGCTGAGGGACAGCTGACTTCTAGCTCAGCAGAATGTGATACTGCCTAATGGATGTTCCAGGGACTTCGGACGCCTGAATTTGAGCTCTGTCACAGCCATTCCCTACCCTCTGCTCAGCATAAACTAGGATTAAAGGATCCTAAGACTCTTTAGCAGACCTTTAATAATATATGGGTCTTCCCCCTTCCTCCTCTGTCTCCAGTTTCACTCTCATCAGCTGTTTCACATCTTTGTGGTTGCTGGAGCTTTCGTTCATTTCCACGGCGTCTCCAACCTCCAGGAGTTCCGGTACATGATCGGAGGGGGCTGCAGTGAAGAGGGTGCGCTGTGATACTGACTAGTGGCCAGGGACCGACCCTGCCTCAGGGCCCGCAGCACCTGCAGGCCTCCTTTCTGGTCCGTGATGTCAGTACCAGAGGAGCCCCCATACCTGGACAGCCTAGTGGGCTTTGTGATGCCCCAGGGGCTCCAGGTGGTATACGACTGACCAGAGGGGAAATAAATCATACCTCAAGGATGGACTGCATCAGTCTGGAGAACAAGAGGAATGGCCGAAACGAACACTGCCCTGGGGTGTACAGATGGAGGGCTCTGCAAGACCCTGGGCAGACTGGCTTCTGATGTGGCTCGTATTTATTGGTGGACATGGGGAAACAGGCTCACTGGTGGTTCCCTTCTCTCCTGACACAGTAATACAAACCAGTTTAGGTGAGCATTTATATCCTATTAAGGGGTGGGAGTGTGATTTTAGATGCTCTTTGGGGAGAACAAAGAAATTAATGTAAATAAGATTTCTAACTTACTGTTTAAATAAGAATTTATATAAATGTTTAAAACATAGGGACGAGGGAGGGAGGGAACATTTTTGTATAGGTTGAAACATGCAAGTACCACACACTGTTTCAATTTTGCACAAAGTAACGGAAGGAGGGTCAGGTGATAGCCCCAGAATGTATATTGCCTTGGTTCACCAAGGTGCCTTCCAAAGGCGGACATAGCTTGGGCCCTAGTAGGCAGAGGGCGTAGCCCCAGCCTAGGGAATCTTATGAGCACTCTCACACCTGAGAGCTGAGACCTTTGGAAGTTTATGAGGGAGAAGGAAGTAACGTGGTATGTGTTTCCCAGTGGAAGTAGCATGTAAGGGCTAACAGGAGTGAGATGGTTAGGCTTTAGTGAAAGTACTGTTTGAGAGATGATTTATTTTCTAGACCCTTTCTAGAGAGTAGAGCCACCTTCTCGGGAAGGTCAGTCAGTTGTGCTGGCATCTGAGGGACAGTGTCAGGGACAGGGACGATCTGATTACTTGTTGGCGTCCTGTTGAAAGTTGTGCTCATTCTGATTGGTGGAGAGGCGTCCTGGTTTTCAGTGCCCCTACTATGGTGGAACACAGTCAAATCACTGCCCAGACCACCCTTCCTCCTGCAGTATGATCTGGCCTCTCCTTGGTATCATAGTCCTTGTCATGGGCCAGCCACAAAAGGGATTCTGACTTGGCCAGATGCCTCTTGAACGGATTAGCACAGGAAGGGAAACTCTCACTTTGGCACATAGAACAGATGGGCTTTGCTTCTGGTCAGCTGTTCTCTTGAACAAGAGAACCAGCAGGATTGTTGTAAAGCAGAGTCCAGCGCCCATCATGGAGCAGAGGGAGCGTGCTGGAAGGTTGTGGGTGGTGTGGCCCAGTATTCTAATAGAATCCTTAAGGCCATGTCCTTGAAGAGCAGTAGGAAACAGGATGACTCACCTCCCAGAGGATGTCAATGGTGTCAAGGAGAGTGGCAAGGGAGAGTTCTGATCTCGGCTCACAGGAGGGCAGACTCCTAAAATAGCACCGAGTCTCCAGTTGCTCACGTGCGAGGGTCTGGGTGAGTAAGCCATGTCCCGGAGCTGCTGGGTGTGAGCACGGACGGCGCCACTCCAGGCATGAGGGCTGAGGGTTTGAGACCAGGGAAGGGTCTTGACCGTATTAAGGATGGGATTTTCTCCGTTTAGTTTTCTCCCCTCCTTTTCTAATCTCCAGCAAAAGCTGAGAACCAGGAAGAAAGCATTCACAGTAGAATTTAAGAGTATTTTGGTCCCAATAAGGTCACTGCCCTGGGTGCTAGGTGGAGTGAGCACAAGGCTCTGGGTGAACTGGTGTAGTAGCTGACAAAATTAAGAACAGTATTAATATAGCTGAGGAAACGGTCCACAGGACAGTGGCTACCAGGAAGAATGCTCACTTAGTGTCATGGGAGCAATAGTCCCTATCAGAGGTAGACCTGCTCTCCGGGGCTGCACTTTGGGACCCCGTATGTGATGCATCCCTGTAGGACGCCAGCAGAGATAGCAGACTCCGGTCCCAGGCCCCCCACCCCCCACAGGAGGAGCAGAATCTGGTTCAGCACAGCACAAACCCTTAGGAAAAATGAACTTAACACCACCAGTGCATAATCCAGTAAAACCTCCCTCTGCTAGGGTGTGAGAGCAAACCCTTGTGTATGTGTCCATTTCTGTATGTGTGTCTGCGTGCAACTCACGACCAGCAGCCTCACCGTGCACTGGTCTGACAGTGCTAGCTGAGAACTCTCACCAGGTTGGCGCCTGAATGCCTTACTCTCAGCAGTCAGAGGCTTGCTTGCTCTGTGCACATTTTTAATTGTTTTCTTTTGGCCATAGGCTGGTTTGGACTTTCACAGCTTCCTTCTTTTCACCATTAAACAGTGGCCTTTTTCAGTATTTCCCCCTTCCCCTTTATAAATTGCTGAAGCCACAAAGCACATTGGGGTGGGGGGAGGGGTGTCATAGATTTGGGTTCCGGAGGGTTGTCTGTGTGATGGCCCCATTCACCGTGGGATTTCTCTACTTGCTGTCTTCTCAACTTCTTCTAATAAAAAGAACCAAACGGACTGTGGACTCTTGGTGTGTTTTTCCTGCCTCAGCTCATCCCGCTTCCTTGGTGTCGAGGCCTGTTACTGGAGGCTCTGCTTCAGGCACTGAAGCTTATGAAGTGTCCAGACACTGCCCGGTCTCAGCCCAACGCACCCCTCCACTCTCTCCCTCCTTCTTCCCCGCTGCTTTCATTGCCACTGGAGCCGGGTTTTGTGTGGAAAGAGAATTCAAGTCAGTTCTACTTACTAACATTTATAAAAATAACACCTAACTAGTGAACACTGTATTCCCGGGGCTGTGTTAAAGGCCTCGCTCTCTATAACTAACAACGACTATGGACGAGTCGGTTTCCGGGTCACTCACATGGATGAGCTTGCCCTTCCTCTGCTTGCATCCTGACCAGTTAATCTGGTGCCCCATTGGCGGCAAGGTTTCTGGATTGGTGGTTATATTGATCCTGTCTATGTAAGAGAGGAGAGGAAAACCCAACCCCTTGCCTTAGGTAAAAATTATTATTTTTCAGGTTAAGTTCCTGTATTTGGACAATATATCCAATTCTGCATTTTCATCTTTAAAGCTTTAGGAGTCCCCTGTGTGCTGTGTAGAGCACTGGGTAGTGTCTGTCCTTCGTAAAGAAAGAAGCTGAGGTCTACAATAACCCACATGTCGTGTGTGCACTTCACCCCCCACCCCCTTGCTGAAAGCCGTGTATATGCATCCTGTTTCTCGGGGGGTGTCCTGGGGGTACTGTACAGGGAATAGATAGGACAAGTTAGAATTTGGACTTGGTAACACCGGTGGCCTAGGGAGGCCTCTGGACAATGTTTCTTAAAACATCCCAGAAGTAATGGACTTTTTTCCTACAATGTTTTGGTGAGAGCAGGTTCCACCCTCAAGGAGTGTGAGAACTCCAGTTTAGGAATAACATGGGATGGCAGGCGTCAGGCCGAGGGGAAAACTCAAAAGCCTCTCACTGCCCATCTAGCCCATCCCTGCCTTGGCAAAATTGGTGGGTTTGAATTCCAGTCCTGCCGTTTGCCATGTAATATGGGGAAGAAGTCATTTGCCTATCCCTCTTTCCTCACCTGTTTTTTTCCCCCCTGAAAACTGGAAGCATGCCCTTTGCACCGGCGCTGAGATGCAGAGGCTGGTAATGCAGCAGTCCCAGGCCTCCATAGTGATCCACCGGCTATTCTGCCAAGTCTTTGCACTGAGACCTCTCTTTTGTGCTCTGTGCCCCACCTCCCATGTTTACATCTTGGACCTTATGATAGGCCCCTGCCCCCCTGAAACTGAGCTGCACTTGAAAGACTTTGAAGTGGTTGATGAAGCACTTGACTAAAAAGTACTTCCATGTATGCAGAATTCCTAGGCAGGCTCAGCTCAGACCTGCCTGCTTGGTGCGGGGAAAGGAGTTCAGGCAGCAGGGTCGAGTCCTTGGCCATTCTGAAGGTGTACAAAGTTTATAAGACTCCCAAATTTTGCCTCTTCCTTTCACGAAAACACTGAAGTTCCTCCTCTCAAAATCTAAACTCATATGATCCAGGCCCTTTCGCTTGAGCGCGCTGCCACCTGGTGTCCTACCGTGCTTCTGTTACAAGGGGAAAGAACAAGACAGCCAACTTCCTGGAGGCAGGACTTAGTTGTTCCAGGAGGGAAGCAGAGTTAAGTTTGTCAGCAGGGTCCCCTAACCCCCTCCCCCCCTTCTTTCTGGTGTTCTCAGTTTCTGGATCTTGGAGACCACTCTTGGCAGTGCGGAGGCGTGGGGCCCTGGGAACCTGACGAAACAAGTCCAAGAACTGCACCTGCACTTCCCAAGCTTGGCCTTTTAGTGATTATGACCCTCGTATGGTTAATACATTTGCCTGAAAACACTGGACCCCGTAGGACAGGATAGAACTGCCCTGTGGGTTTCCAAGACTGTTAACCCTTCGTGGGAGGAGAATGCCCGCCGGTCGGTAGTTGTGCTCAGGCTGTTGGAGGCCAGACCATTGGTGGTTGCTGAAGAAAGGCGGTGGTCGTCCCAGAGCAGGGCTGGGGCAAGAGAGGATCAGCCCGCCCGCCCTCACTGCGCTTCCGTGCAGCTGGTGAGCTGGAGAGCGGCTTCTGCCGCTTTCGAACGCACTTTGTCGCGGGGGCACCTAGGACTGTTACCCATTCCTAGAATTCAGACATTAATATCTTTATCCCTACTTCTACGAAACCAAGTTACAGAAGGATAATAAACGTCTACTTAGTGTTTTTGATAAGCCAGGCAGTTTTAGGTGCATTATATGCATATCATAATCGAAACTCAGTGTTCTTCCGACAGTCTGGAGCCGGTCTTAAGCTCTGAGGCAGCGTCCTTTTCTGTCCTGTTCCTATCGCTGGCGGCCATCAAGTCAGTTCCCCTTCACAACATCCATACGCACAGCAGCAGGGCGCGCGCTCTGCTCCTGTGCCACCCCCACCCCCACCCCCACCCCCCGCTCCAGCCACTGTGTCCGTCCATCTCGGGACGGTTCACCACTCCTCCTCCTCTCCACTGACCCTCCACCAAGCAGGATGTCCTCCAGGGACTGGTTCCTCCTGAGAACATGTCCTAAGTACATCAGATAATCTTGCTTCTAAGCATGCTGGTTGGACAACGTCTTTTAAGATGGGCTTATTCATGCGCTAGTCAAGAGTCTTCAACACCACAATTCACATGCATCGATCTTTTTTCACACTGGGCAAATCTACAGAAGATCCGAGCACCTGTCACGCGGAGGACGGGGTGCAGCTGGCCCAAGCCATGGTATTTTCAACATCCTCCCACGCAGGAGAAAGCCGGGCAGTGACTAGGGAAGGCATCTATACGAGTCCTTGCTCTGAATTCACGTGCATTATTTTCCTGGTGAATGGCAGCAGTAGCTATTAGCATGATTCTGTTGCTGGTGGGTCAGCAGCGATCTTAAGGAAACTCCGGATTCTCCATCTCTCCAGCTATAATCTTCTACCTTACAAGATTGCTGTGCGACGTAGAGTGAAGGTAATGCCTCACCTACAGTGTAAAGGTACTTTACGAATGCACTGAATGTATTTACAGCTAGAGGGCAGCGGTCCTGTATGCTGGTGGGAAACTTGACCAACTTCCACTTTTAGGTGTGGAGGGGAGGGGGAGGAGAGTCTCTTGAGCTTCCACACAGCATTATGGGGCTTTGAACGATCAAGAGATTCTCTGGTTCTGCCCATCTGTTGATCTCATGTGGAGTCCTCAGGAAGCTCTCTGCCCCAGGGCACCAGTCTGGAGGAGGAAAAAGGAAGCTCCCCCAGGTACCCGCACTCTGCCCCTGGAGTC